CAAAGTCAGCGAGCTTGACCACTTGATCCCGTTAGTCGCCTCTTACGACAAGCAATTCTAACCCGGACCTTCACGGGTCAACAGCGATTGAGAGAGAGAGAGAGAGCGATTCGTTGGATTGGTCCAACATGGAGCAACGCACACCCACCTCGCCTGAAGGTTAGGATGCGCGCTCAAAACCGTCACCAGGTCAATGCAGCGGTTGTGTGAAACAGGTTGGACAACACACAGGCCGAGAAGCGGGAGACCATGGATGACCACGCCTATTGAAAACGTGGGTACCATCTGGGTACTTCATCTCCGGAACCACTTCATCACGGCGACGTTAACGGCAAGGACGGCACTCGGACAGGTGATAAGTAGACAAACCGTTTACAGGAAATTGCAGGTACATGGCATTCAAGCACGTCGCACCTACCGCAGAGCGTTCCTTACACCTCAACAGCAAGACCAACAGACTGGTGTGGTCCAGGCGACTTCGACGTTAGCAACGGCGATACTGGGCACCGGTCTTGTTTTCCGACGAGAGCAGAATTTGCATTTCAGGAACGATGGTCGGCAGCGTGTGTACTGAAGAGTTGGTGAATGTTTGCCAAAGAACTGCATTCATCAAGTCTCGTCATTCGGAGGCAAAGGTTTAATTGTTTGGGGTGGAATCTGTGGTGACGTCAAAACGAGTGTCGTCATTAATCGAGGACAACTGAATGCACAGCGTTATCGAGATGGAATTTTTACAACCAGTTGTTCAGCCATTCATCCAACAACAGCCCCTAGGAATCATTTTCCAGCACGATAATGCGAAGCCACATACGGCAATGCATACTCAGACCTTCTTCGCCAACGCCAACATTCAGGTTTTACCATGGGCGGCATATTCACCGGATATGAACCCTACCGAACACTTATCGGACCATCTCGATCACCAACTCAGAAATCGCCCTGTGCCTTCAGTCAACTCCGGGAATGGGAACAATGCCTCCTTGATGAATGACAACGCATCCCCGGCCCCCCCTTAACGTCATCCGACGTTTGACGTCATCAGCCCGTACACGTGTACTGGCGTGTGTTGACGCTCACAGTGGACGTACCCGGTACTAACGTGACTTTGAGATGTCTGTCCACACTTGCCTCGTCATGTGGGTTTGAATGCAATTTTCAATTTGGCCCCCTCACGTCCTTACAGCCTATCCTAATGATTGTAAAGGATTGACTGAAATGATTTTTTGTACACGTGTTGTTGAAAATATTCTAAAATGAAATATACCAAACTGATATTTCTGTATCGTTTTGTTTTTCTCTAATGTCCATTCAAACACATGGTATCGTTTCTTTTGGACCTTAGTTTAGTGTCAGATTTAGGTTTAGGTTCAGCATTTCAAAAAATGTGTATGTATAGCAGACAGGGAGTTATCACTGTGACTATCCCATCAATGCCTAGCGTGCACAACTGCGTGCGTTTAATTTGTTAAGACTATAACGAAAGTCGGGTATTTGTTTGTTTTCCGACGTTTCGAAAAGGGGGATTTCTATTTCATAGAACACTGGCATAAACGATAAACGCGTTATCATTTCCCCGTGTCCCCTATCAAGGGCAGTATCTTTAATGCACGCCGGCGTGAACAAATGCCGTACTATACTGAGTCAAACTAGAAACTTCACAATCATATATTAAATAATATGTAAAAGAAAGCACATAAGAATGTGGTATACAGGTTATCATTTTTTTGTTATTTGTGGATGAAATGAGAATAATGGCAATGCAAAAAATCGGTTCCATGTGTTTACTTAATTTATCAATAAATGGCATAAACAATGTGTCAAGTCGCAAGAAATTAAATCTCAAACGTTCAGTAGCATGTATGACCAACCCGTGGGTTCACAACTGCCAAGCAACGCCTCTTCATGGACTGTCTGATGCGTGTAAACACATTATTGAGGAGTCGGCGCCATTGTTCCTGCAAAGCAGCACCAAGATCCTGCAAATTCTGGGGTTGGTTCCTAAGAGAGCGCAGACCTCTACCAAGAGCATCAGATGTGCTCGATTGGATTGAGATCAGGTGACCTTGAGGGCCAGTCAAGAACGTTGATTCCTGCGTTCTGCAGGTAATTCCTGGTCATGTTGACTGTATGGGGTCTGGCATTGTCATGATGAAAGTACAGACCTCGACCATGTGCTGCCATGAATGGAATAAGTTCGGGGGCTAGCACCTGGTCGCGCTAAATTGCAGCATTATGGTTCCCACGGATAACCAGAAGTCGGGAACGGGCAATCCCACAGTATGCACCCCAAACCATGACACAAATCTGTCAACTTCCTGTACAAAACACCGAGCAAACGTTCACGGCGTCGCCTCCACACTCTCATCCTACCATCAGCGAATCTGAGTGTAAATCTTGATACATCACTGAAGAGAACTGGATTTCAATCTCTCTTGAATCCATCGGAGGTGTCAACGGGCTCACAGCAAACGCTGACGTCGATGTAATGGCGTCAAACTGGTTCCACGATATGGACGTCGAACACTAAGGTGAGCAGCTTGCAGCCACTTCAATGTGCTGTGGTGACTTTTTCCTTGAGTCGATACTTGGGGATGAATATTATGGTACCCGAAAACAGTCTACTTTAACAATTCATATTTTTATTTACAAATATTAATTGTGAAGCTTTTATTTTGACTCAGTACAGATTGGACGTCTTCTCTGTTATATTTATAAACATTATTTCATGTTACAGGAGAACGAACAAACGTCCACACGCACACGCACACATCTTTTCAATAATGAGCTACCGTGGACTCATGGGGACTATCATCTCTAACAGGGGCCGGGGACAAAGCAATATTCAAATCTATAAATGCTGGGTCGGGTGGGAAATATGCGCCGGGTGGGATACAGCGAAGATTTACATTGTAATGTAAGTCTTCTGATTTGTCCTTCCAGGCAGTCCCATGAGTGTTCTAGGGGAGAACATGCTGGTCACGGCAATCAACGATGTTTGCGTTATGCAGAAAGTCGTTTGTCAGACTTGCCGTATAAGGCCTTGTGTTATCGTGTTGGGAGACAATGCCACGTGGTTGTTGCTGGATAAATGGCAACACAACTGCTCGTAAAACTTCATCCCCGTATCTTCGAGCATTCACGTTGCAATGAATAATCCCAATTCTCGTTTTGAGATCGCCACAGATACACCCACATATCATCACGCTACCGGCTCGAAACGATCAGACTTGCTGAACGCAACTCGGCGCTAAACGTTCACCTACTCGTCTGTAAACACGAGCCCGGCCGTCATTACTGTACAGACAAAACCTACTCTCATCGGCGAACACCACACGTCGCCAATCATGCATCTGCCAGCCGGTAACGTCGAACTCGCCTTGCCAATGTCAATCGACGACGTCGGTTTTGAGGAGTTAGATGCACCCTGCAGTAGGGTCGACGTCCTCACATACCATGTTCTCTCAGTCGCCGGTACACTGTATGTCGACTGATACGATGTCCAAGTGCCGTCGCTGCCGTTGACGTCGCCGTTACAAAACGATTTCCCAGATGAATTGTCCGGATGTGGCGATCATCACCTGGCGTTGTCACGCGTGGTCGACCACTCCTTGGCCTGTCTGACGTATTGCCTGTTTGTCTTTGTCGTTGTTAGCTCCTTGTTGGGCCCTTCCGACAGCTGTCTCTCTTTCTATTTGCCTCAAACGTGGCACATTTTTGTGTTGTTTTTACTACTGTGTTGCGACGTTTAGGCGATTCGTTAACTTGTTTCGGCGTTTGTTCCCGGAAGGGATGGGTCGGTACGTGTGTGATATGGCTCAGTATTGTTTATCACTTCATTTGTATTTTTGTGAATTTTTATGTCATATTTTGTGATGTATAGGTTGTTTTTTTTTAGCAATAGTTTATGTTTGATATTTTAAATTATTCTGATCATATATACACAAACTTATTCTTATGTCTGTAACTCAATAAAAGTCCACGAGTGAGTTAATTTTAAGTCGCATTTAGCGGCACTCAAGCAATGTCACGGCGTTGGACACCAGAAATGGGCTTCACACATTGTACCCACGTTGGGATTCGAACTTGATGACGAGCGAACCACTAGGCAACCCAATCGCCCCTATAAAGGTACATGAAGAGAACAAACTTGGTGCACATCAGCAAAGAGAAACATAACGAAATAACTTGATGTTTGCAATAGTTAAGATATATAACCTTGCACAGACATTAACAATTTAGTCGGAGATATATTAAATGGGGCAATATGTATATGACGTACTATTTTACAATCAGATTCTGTCAGTGTCTTCTTTCTAACACATCAGCGGCGACAGACAAAACACTCCCTGTTGGAAGTACATGTTGAAATATATCAGTTACATGTTATTTATGGATGTATCTATGTGTAACCATCATTTAGACTTCCTATACGTATAGTTACAACCGTACATCCCGCCATTTCCCACAGTACACAGTCCAGCCTCTCCGCCCAGCGTGACGCTGTATCTGTGAAAGTGACTGAAGCGGACATAGAAGTTGCCCGTTCATATGTTGTCTGTTGTCTGTTACAGATGTCAAAATGTCTTCATTTGACTTTCTTTTCTGTTTTATTGTATTCCATATTGCACTAGAGAAGTTCAGAATTCCCACACTATTACTTTAATCGTGATTTATGTAAATATTTCTGTATATTTTGACGAAGCGCCTCACCATCACATCAACAGGGCGGAACAAACATTTGTCAAAATTGTTGTATTCGGTATTTATTTGTTTATCAAATAACTTTGTTTGAAATACATTTAGAATTCACATACAAATAGTTTTACGGTACATTTATTCCGTTATGTGTTACAGCAAAGACGTACATACGTCCTTGGTGACAGTGACCACCAAGTTGGCAACTGGTGAAACTCACAGTCACACATTCAGCGCGCTGTTCACAGATAATCACATTGGAACATTCAGCTGTTTATAGATAATTACATGCAATTCCTATTAAACACCCGGCTTTGTCAATGACAGTAAAAAAACTCGTCTCACAACACACTCAATCTGTATTTCCAGGTCCTAAACTACATCTGGACGCCGATCATGCCAATATAGACGCTTGCCACGTAACTGCAGACGGTGAGTTGATCAACTCGCCGTCCTACACACGGTCAGATCAGGAGAGGCACAGGTTACAGGAGTATCATGGGGCCTGTACTTCCACCCCCATCCCCCTACTTCCACCCCACTCCACTCTCATCCCAGCATACAGCACACCTAGATACTGGGAAACACTCACCAGGTTGCGGTTGGTGAGGGGAATGTGGTTGCGGCCTGTACTGGAGATGGGGGTGAGTGAGGCAGGACAGGTGGACACGGAGCGGTGGGTTTCTCGTCAGCGTCGCTCCTGGTGTGTCAGTGTGGGGAGCTGTAACAGACACCAGGGTGTATGTACCACGGTATACAGGGGGGGTGAGCAAGGCGAGTGTCAACAGAACACCATGTCCGGCGCTCCCGGCAGACAGGCCACCCTCCACTATGGCGTTGTGCTGGATGTGGCGAGGGGAAGACTCGCATTTATCGACTTGAACAGAGAGATTGTTTTAGCCAAGTTTGATGAGATGTTCACTGAAGACCTGTACCCCATGTTTGGTGTTTCGCCGCTGCCAGATCCCACCACTCTCAACATGAAGCTGGTCAGCGGTGAGGACATCGACATCACTGACACAAAGAAGTCTCTGATTCACGATGCGCTGACATAGAAAACACGCCAGACATGAGACCGTGTGACGTTACAGTGTAACAGAGAGATTTATACCAGCTGTTTCAATCACATCTTCGTTACAAAGCGAAGCGGACATAGAAGGGTCCGTTTTGTTTCTTGTTTCATGTTTACAAAAAGTAGCGAGGTTTGCTAAATGTGATGTTTTGCTACACGGGGTGATTGTAAAATGTCTACAAAGTAGTAAGAAATACCACATCAGTATCTTCATGTTGACATAACTGATATAACCACCACCATTAGGAGACACTGTGTAATGTTTGGCTACACGAGGTGATTGTACAATGTCTACAAAGTAGTTAGAAATACCACATCAGTGTCTTCATGTTGAAATAACTGATATAACCACCACCATTAGGAGACATTGTGTAATGTTTTGAAATCTGATGTGATGAATATAAGTGAAGTCAGGTTTTACACAAAATGTTTCAAATAGCAATGTTTCCTATTTCAGTTCACTCTTCTGTGTATTATAAATGTTTTGTTAATAGTTTCATTATCATATCAGTAAGAAATATTCCAGCTATATCACAGCATCCTGCAAATAATCCTGGCCCTGTAAACCAGTGTTCGATAGCATGAGCAATGATTACGGGTGTAAAAATGCGTTTGTTACTACTGACTGACTGACTGACTGAGTTTAGTTTTACCCCGCTTTTTGCAATATTCCAGCAATATCACGACGGGTGACACCAGAAATGGGCTTAACACATTGTGCCCATGTGGGGGGATCGAACCCGGGTCTTCGGCGTGACGAGCCAACGCTTTAACCACTAGGCTACCCCACCGCCCCCAGAAAACCTGAAGGCAGGAGGGGAAATAATCACGAGTGAAAGTAATAACCCTTTTAAAAGCTAAAAGTATTTTAGCGGGGAATATTTTTCATTTATTTTCTTATTCATAACAAAATACGACCGGCGGAGCCGTAAGACAAGAAATACAATTGGTCTGGCCTTAAGAACATAAACACTAATTATTTACTGCCTGATGACATTAAGGAACTTAACATTTGACCTTTTGTTCAATAAAAAGGGAATTAAAATAAATGCAGATCAATGCAACATCTATATTGATCAATAGTGGAATTTCACATTGCGCATGAACATCACGTGACGGACGTGCACATACTGGTGAAAGGGCGTGTTCCTTATGGGGAACTCACAATCTCGGATGCTAAGGATACGCCTTGAAATACTTCCGAGACAATCTCTAGGAACAGAAGAAAAGATGTCACCTATGCCGTCAAGCTGGTGGGATTGCAATGATACAGAGCTTTCATTAATTGTTCGAGATTATACCTTCAAATCTGCTCCTGTTATCAATAGAAACGTCTGTACAAGGTGACTTTTAACATCTACTGTTTTGAAATCTAATGTCTATGGAATGGGTTATTGACGGCAAAGATTGGGACAGGCGAGGTAACACCTGGGATGGCTTTTGCGCCCAAACCGTTAGAACCATGTTTACAGACGAATTTAGACGAATTAGACGACCTTCCACAAGGTTTTGTAAGACTCGGTATAGCAGTGTAACGAATATTACTGAGCCTAAGTTTACTTAGACTAAGTGGCGAAAGATATGCTTTGTCAACAACTCTTGATGGTGATCGGGATGTGGACGTAAGTGTCATGGTGTAGATGGTATAACACATCTGATGCATACAGGATAACACTTTAGTCAAGACTCGTGAAGGTCCGGGCTAGAATTGGCCTTTAGTCACCCATGCGTCGTCAGGCTTGCTGACCTGGTTGACATATGTCATCGGTTCCCAATTGCGCAGATCAATGCTCATACTGTTGATCACTGGAGTGTCTGGTCCAGGCTCGATTATTTACTGACCGCAACCATATTGCTGAAATTTTGCTGAGTGCGGCATTAAAACTAAACTCACTCACTCACTTTAGTCAAGTACAATCTCCAGTACGTTAGTGAACACTAACACGGTTAGAATAAACACCCTCAGGGTGAGCTATCTGATCGCCACCACACAAAGTCAGCGAGCTCACCCAGTCAGCCACCGAAACCTTCACACTAGAATGGGGGTCTAACAACTGTTCACACACTTTCTCTTTTACACACACTTTCTCTTTATAACGTTTCAATTGACACTGTTCTCATATTAGATCGCTGACTTGTGTCTTAAATGATTGAATTGTACACGCATTCGGTCTTTCATCGTGTAATGATATTCTATATTGATATATTATTTGACAAGAACAGAATCATACTTAAATATCAACTCATAATAGGGTACACACAAGTACCAAAATAACTTTGCATTACATATATGCAGAGTTCCCTCGCAACAATTACACCGTTCCCTCACAATACTGTCCGCAGATAAGACATAAGACTTCCTTAAAGATTGAAGCAGCTGTCATTCCCTTACCCTTTCCTGAATATAACCCAGCTTTGCTGACCCGTGTTGTGACGGTACCATGCTGAGTGAAGCGTCCTACAATCTCCATGACACGTATCTGTGTATTCCATCAGGCATTACTCCGTCGTCACTTCTACTTATATACTCTACAGGTCAGGGGTGGTCGTAGGTATTTTCACTAACTATACTCTGTAAGAATACGATCCCCCAAAACGCAACCGAAATTCACTTTGTATTTTACTTTGATTGCGCTAATAACATTAGACATACAACATGATGTTACTAGCGACCACTGAGTACATGAGTACCCCTTGCAGTGAAGTATGGCAGTATTAGCTGTATATATGAAACATCCTTTTGAAGAAAGATCGTATTCTAAACTACGCATCCAAGTGTGACATGGGCGTCGGTGGAATTATCACTTACACATGCGAAAGGTCTCCCAAAATTCTAAAGATAGGTTTTATTTATGAACATGACGGTGGTTTGCAATAAATATTTGACGTAGGCAGAAAGATCATTGTACACTCTCCATAATAATTATTGTTGAGAACTATGATCAACAATTTCTCCATGCCTCAGTTCGAAGGTTACGCCACCCACCTAAGGATGATAAATGCTGCCTCCACAGCATCCTCAGTAACGGGACATCCTCAGGATCTCGGACCACACTGTCCAGAACCGTCTACGAGACGCAAGGTTACGACCAAGACGTCCTGTTAGAGGCGTGATTTTGTCCAGGCAGCATCGTCAGCTACAACTGCAATGGTGTCGAGCGCATAGTGTATGGCCTCGGGGACGATGGAGACACGTATGGTTCAGCGGTGAATCCCGATTCATGCCATCTCTCACAACGCCAGGACAGACTTAAAAGCTCGGTGCACATCGGGGAAACTTGACAGCAAAGCGCTATGAGATCTTGCGTCCGCACGTCTTCCGCACCATGGCTAACGTCAACGCTGTTTTCCAGCAGGACAGTGCCCGTCCTCATACATCACCACACGCATCACCACAGCCTTCCTAGCAAACAACAACATCAACGTTCTGCCATGGCCTTTCAGATCCCCGGATTTAAACCCAATTAGCATCTTTGGGATGAATTCTCATAGACGTCTGCGACGGCGACAACCACAACCTCAGACATTACAACAGCTAGCTGCCGCTTTGGCGGCTGAGTGGGCTACAATTCCCCAGACTGTCATCCGCAATCTGATTCCGTCTATGGGCAGGAGGTGCCAGGTAGTAACTGACTCTCAGTGGGGTCACACACGTTACTAACTGTAGTGTACCTGACGTCAAAAGTGCCGTTGGAACATTCGATGACTGCTACTATTGCCTCGGTTGATGTTGTTTATCTGTAACAAAAATCAAATTTCTCTCATTTCTAGTTCATGTAGTAAATGTATGTCTTTGAAACATCCAATGAAAATCTGGCTTTACGTTAGTTTTTTTAGAGTATATTTATTTTAATGGGCTGATTAGACACCCAACACAGAATGTAATCTTAGGGTTTATAGCTTTTCCTGTAATAATGTATCCTATATGCAGAAATTAACTGTTTTTATTTCAAAAGCAATGCGCTTAGGCTTATGTGTGTTAATTGATTTATTGTGAATGTTGTCTCTCTGTAACTTTGTAATGCAGAAAAGACTTGTGGCCTACACAACGAAAGGAATAAAATTAAAATAAAAGTTCTAGTCATTGTTTTAGTGATTGATAAAGTGGACAACGATAACACTAATACGCCATCCATCAAGTGACCCGTGAAGATCCGGGTTAGAATTGATCTTCAGTAACCATGCTTGTCGTAAGACGCGGGTGGTCAGGCTCGCTGACTTGGTTGACACATGTCATCGGTTCCCAACTGCGCAGATTGATGCTCATGCTGTTGATCACTGGATTGTCTGGTCCAGACTCGATTATTTACAGACCACCACCATATAGCTGGAATATTGGTGAGTGCGGCGTAAAACTACTCTCACTCACTCATCCATCAAGTGGTTCTACCCCTGTAGGGCACGTCCCTCTTGACCCCTGTTGTGTTAGGACACTTGGTAAGTTCCTGTCCTCCCCCGACTGACTGTGTCGTTCTTCACGCTAACTCCTTGTGGTAGGATTAGCTGTTAGATCTCGCTAAGCATGGCAGCTTACAGGGTCAGATGTGAGCAGCCGACTAAGTGTTATCGTCATGGATCGCTACACCACGCAGCTCTGGTAAATCCCATACCTACGGCATGTTGTTGGGATATAGTTTCTGTTGTGAATGTGCGTTTCTTACGGTATGCTTGGAGGTCTTCAATTTTTGTGTTCCGCTTCTGGACCAGAAAATCTAGTGATCAACATCGTGAACATCGATCAACGCAGTTGAGATACGAAGACATGTGTTTACCAAATCAGCGAGCCTGACCACCCGATCCCGACAAGCATCTGCGATCAAAGGCATGCAATAGGTGTACCCGTCATTCTACCAGGATTTCAGTAAATAGTGAATTGTGGTTAATTACAGTCTTTCAGGGGCATATAATCACGTGAAACAGGTTTATGATTGTATATCGTTTAGGGTAATGCACTATTTTTGTTTGCCCACGAACATAGTGGACAAATAAATAAAATAAATTACCGATTACGGTGATTTTGCTGTCGGAAATGACACATGGTTTTTTTGGAGATGGATTTAGCAATGATGAGCTCGACACATTACTTGCCTAAGTCACAGAAATAGGTGATAATACATACCAAATTACTACACACAAGCATGGATTCAGCTGAACAAGGCTAAAAACATCGTCTGCTTTCTGAAGACAATTTCAGCAAGAAAGCAGTTTACGTTGATTCCCTCATATGCCAAAAAAAAAGGTTAATCGACTGACTGTTACATGATTTCCATATCAAGATTGTTAACAGATTTCGTTGACGATATGACCACGGATT